CCCATACGTGGACATGGGTGAAGGCTCCCACAAGGATCGTAAACATCAAAACATTCAGGCATCCCCTGGACAATGTCCTTGCAGACGGCCAATTATCTCACACCCGAAGTGACTTGCGGTTTCTCAAGTTGCTCCTGACATGAAAAAAATCCACAAAAAAACTTCAAAACCATCCAGTTTCTGAAAAAGTTGTGTGTCAATTAGGTCCTATTTTTTTTCCAAAGCAACCTCCAATTGCAAACTACATTCAGTCTATCTAGATTTGATTCTGCCAAACCGCTCACTTTCCCCCTTCTCTTTGGTCTGAGCAACGTTTCAGGTGATTCTAGCAGTAGGCCAGGCCGTTTGGTGGGCGCCTCTTCTTCCAAAATGCCTCCAGTCTTTGCTCTTCTGCTGACCCTGAGCCTCTTTTGACTCTCTAGCTGCCTTCAGACTGTACTGACCTTTCCTAATTTGCAGCTGCTCTATTTTAGTCTTGCCTGAAGCAGGACACCAAGTGGGGATTTGAACAGGTCTCCAGAATGCTTTCTGACTTCATAGTGATGCGCCCCCAAAGCTATTTTTAAAGTATCAGTTGTCTAGATTTCAGGTACTATCCACGCCTGTTCAAAGGTACTGTTTCTAGGACATACTGGGGAAGAAAAGAGATAAAAAGACAAGAGAGAAAACATTGTTTTTCTTTCCCAGGTGCTATTATGAGATATATTTTTTTGGGCAAAGAGACCTTTATGTAAGAGATGAAATGCTGGGAGTTATTTCACCAAATGCTCTCCAAGGGTTGTGGCCTGAGATTCTCCAACAGTTCTAAACTAAAGTTCTCAGAATGTTTTTTGGTCTAGTTTCTTAACAGAGGGCTTCATGGGAAAGCAAGGTCCTGCTTTATACCAACTCAGAGCAACTCAAGAGCGATTTTCCTGCTTCTTGGCAGGGGGTTGGACTGGATGGCTCATGAGGTCTCTTCCAACTCTATCATTCTACAGATGCTTTCAGTCCAGTCAAACCTCTCCAGAGTTTCAGATGGGTTTTTCTTTTTGCCGTTCTCTCTCTGTGTTGAATAGACTAGTGTTGAATCTAGGACTTCTTCCAAGGCAAAGTACATACTGGTAATGTACAACTATGCTTCCACTGAAATCTAGCCACCCTATCACAGTCTCTTTTAAGCATGGAGAAACACTGAACTCAGCACATGAGTTAAACTACTTCTGGCTCTCCTGCACAGCTCTCCTTGGTTGAAAATAGGCAGAAGTGTCCTGAAAGGAGGAAGATCCAGGAGCTCCCCCTCGTAGGACACTTCAGCCTCTTTTGTAGCATGGAGAGGCATAGAACTCATCACGTGTTCCGGGATTAAAAAGAGACAGAGATGTCCTGAAAGGAGGGAACACTGAACATGAGCTAGCTGGGTTGTTGTAGGTTTCGTCGGGCTATATGGACATGTTCTAGAAGCATTTCTCCTAACATTTCACCTGCATCTATGGCAAGCATCCTCAGAGGTAGTGAGGTCTGTTGGAACTAGGAAAAAGGGTTTATATATCTGTGGAATGACCAGGGTGGGACAAAGGACTCTTGTCTGCTGGAGCTAGGTGTGAATGTTTCAACTGACCACCTTGATTAGCATATAATGGCCTGACAGTGCCTGGAGCAAACTTTTGTTGAGAGGCGATTAGATGTCCTTGTTTGTTTCCTCTCTGTTGTTGTGCTGTTGTAATTTTAGAGTTTTTTTAATACTGGTAGCCAGATTTTGTTCATTTTCATGGTTTCCTCCTTTCTGTTGAAATTGTCCACATGCTTGTGGATTTCAATGGCTTCTCTGTGTAGTCTGACATGGTGGTTGTTGGAGTGGTCCAACATTTCTGTGTTCTCAAATAATATGCTGTGTCCAGGTTGGTTCATCAGGTGCTCTGCTATGGCTGACTTCTCTGGTTGAAGTAGTCTGCAGTGCCTTTCATGTTCTTGATTCGTGTTTGGGCAATGCTGCGTTTGGTGGTCCCTATGTAGACTTGTCCACAGCTGCATGGTATACGGTAGACTCCTGCAGAGGTGAGAGGATCCCTCTTGTCCTTTGCTGAATGGAGCATTTGTTGGATTTTCTTGGTGGGTCTGTAGATAGTTTGTATGTTGTGTTTCCTCATCAGCTTCCCTCAGTGGGGAATCAAATGCTTATCAAGGTGGTCAGTTGAAACATTCACACCTAGCTCCAGCAGACGAAAGTCCTTTGTCCCACCCTGGTCATTCCACAGATATATAAACCCCTTTTCCTAGTTCCAACAGACCTCACTACCTCTGAGGATGCTTGCCATAGATACAGGCGAAATGTCAGGAGAGAATGCCTCTAGACCATCGCCATATAGCCCGAAAAAACCTACAACAACCCAGTGATTCCGGCCATGAAAGCCTTTGACAATACATGAGCTAGCTGTTCAGAGCTCCTACTTCTTATTGCACGTTACTACTATATTTACAACTGAAAAACAGGTAGGATGGGAACCATCAAAAGTTTCTCATCCTGCCTCATTACCCAACCAGCAAAGTACATACTGGTAATGTACAACAATGCTTCCACTGAAACCTAGGCACTTTATCATGCTGAGAAATTTCCCAGTTGTAGGACACTTCAGCCTCCTTTAAGCATGGAGAAGCACTGAACTCGTCACATGAGTTAAACTACTTCTGGCTGTCATGCATAATTCTCCTTGGTTGAAAAGAGGCAGAAGTGTCATGAAAGGAGGGAACTCCACAATCAACCTCATCACATTGAGAAATTTCCCCTTTGTAGGAAATTTCAGCCTCTTTTCAAGCATGGAGAGGCACGGAGCTCATCACATGTTCCAGGGTTGCAAAGAGGCAGAAATGTCCTGAAAGGAGGGAATGCTGAAAACAGGCCAGCCATCCTGTTCAGGGCTCCTGTCTCTTATCACACTTTACTACCATCTTTACAACTGAAAAACAGGTGAGATGGGAAACATCAAAAGTTTCCCATCCTGTTTCATTAGACAACCAGCAAAGTACATACTGGTAATGTACAACAATGCTTCCACTGAAATCTAGCCAACTTATCACACTCAAAAAATTCCCAGCCACAGGACACTTCTGCCTCTTTTAAGCATGGGGAGGCATTTTAGCATGGGGAGGCACTGAAATCACATGAATTAAACTACTTCTGGCTGTCATGCATAGCTCTCCTTGGTTGAAAAGAGGCAGGAGTACCCTGAAAGAAGGGAACTCCACAATCAACCTCATTACATTGAGAAATTTCCCCTTTGTAGGAAATTTCAGCTTCTTTTCAAGCATGGAGAGGCACGGAGTTCATCACATGTTCCAGGGTTGCAAAGAGGCAGGAATGTTCTGAAAGGAGGGAGCAGCTGTTGTGACTCAGTTTGATTCTGAGTCTGAAGCTGAACCCTGTGGGTCTTGTGAGCCAGAGTTCTCTGATGAACAGGGTTCTTGTGAGCCAGAGTTCCCTGATGAACAGGATGATAGGATTCAGATTTCTGTTGTGCCTGCCTTAGACAGTGCAACAGGGGAAACATCGAGTCAGTTCTCAGGGGAAAAGAATGTCAGTGGGATAGATAACGGCCAGGTGGAGTTGTCTTTGCCTCCCCAGCCTTCCCACGGTGATCTAGTCCAGCTGGACCAAGATAAAGAGAGCCTTGAAGGTAGGGAAATAATGAGCAGGCAAGAACACTTAGAATTAAGGGCCCGAAGGAGCTCTCGCTTAGCTGGTAAGCAAAAAGCCAAGTCAGCCAAGGGTCATCGCAATGCGTTCATGGTTGCAAAGGGTATTTAGCCTTCTGGCTGACAAATGGGAGTTGTCAGTTCAACGTGGCTCTTTCCATGCAAAGTTCTATGGATTAACCTTGGCTTTAAGCAGTACGCTTTTGGCTTCCTGAATCTGGGATTTTGGGTCTTTTGTTTCACTGTTTTACCATGGACTCTTGTTTGATCATTGCCTAAAGGATTATGCTTCATGTTTTTGCCTTTGGATCTTGGGAACTGTGTTTTTGCATTCAAGCCTCTGTCCTGCTTGTGCAACTTTTGCATTTCTTACTCTATGTTTTGACTTTGCTTTGTTCTCAATAAACTACAAAAGCTACAGCACTGGTGTAGCTTTTGGTGTGGTGGTGTTTGGGAGCACGGTGAAACTACCCTGAGTTGCAACACCAGCAATCCTGTTCAGAGCTCCAACCTCTTTATTTTACTACCATCTTTACAACTGAAAAACAGGTGGGATGGGAACCATCAAAAGCTTCCCATCCTGTTTAATTGCCCAACCATGAGCAGTCTCTTGTACCCTGTGGGCTTTGATGCAGAGCCATAGGATCTCATGGAAAGAAATAGTTTTAACCTGGCTCTCTGTCTCTTTTCACCTGTTTTGGGCAGAACCATTGGATCCCATGGAAGGAAGTGGTTTTAAACTGGTGTCAGTCTCCTTTAATGTAAGGGGTTTTGGGCAGGGCGAAGGATCTCTTGGTTTTCCAATACTGTTGTTTCTCCTGAAAAATAAGGTAATACTGACCTAGTGATAAATGTAAGATGAATGTATTGCCAGTTCCTAAGTTTCCACTTGTGAGTCTGATTGGGAGGCAGAAATCCAAACAGGTGATTAAAGGGATGATTCTCTCCCTTAAAGGGATGGTCACCCATGCTTTCCTCTTTCAATGTGATGAGGTGGTTTGTGAGATTATTCTAACTCCAATGTGCCTCCTGTACGAGATGTTGCCTAATGTCTAAATGGGGAACTGTCTCCAATAAACCAAGCTGAGGATTTTTCTGCTTGCCAACCAAACAAATATATGCAGGTAACATTGCAATGTATCTTGTTCCTTATACTTAATTTTTAAAACAAGCAAACAAAAGCAAGGCATCTTTCCAACTTGTGCTTCAATTCTTTCAGCTTAAGGAACCACCTGAAAGCCATCTCCTTCATCCCCTTCCAATGAGACCTCTTCTGAACCCTCCCACCTATTAACATTTTGCCCAAGCCCTTAATGCAGTGCACCAACCTGATACAGCTACAGAAGGAGCGCTGGGTTCTCCGTATCCAAAGTCATTCACAGCCACCACCCGGAATTCATAGCTCACCCCTGGTTTCAGCTTCTCCAGGCTGATGGTGTAGGAAGTGGCACCACGAGGAATGTCCTTCACAAACAGATCCCACAGGCCTTCATCTACAAAAGCAGCAAGAAAAGGGGTTTGGTGAGCATTGCCTGATCTTTTCATGCACGAGCACTTCTCAAGCATCTTGTAGGCTACATCAGACCTCGAGGTTTACTAGAAGAATGAACACAGGTTAGAATGTGCAACAGTAGGCTACTATGGATGGAAGTACATCACTGGTTACCCTTGGAAGAGTAAGCTCGAGGCTGGAAAGTAATAGCAAAGAGCCTTCATATCGGGATATGTTTTGTCGCGCGCTGGGCCTGTAATAGCTGTCTTTTCTATAGGATGTATACTTTAAGCCCACCTCTCTTGTTTTAAAAAGAGAGGTTGTCAGGGATTTTTCTGAAGTGATGGTCTTTAGAGTCTTTAATATACAACAAAGTCTATTATGGAACAAACAACAAATCTTCAAAGGTTCAAACAACACTTTCAAGGCTTTCTTAGTCTACTCCTCAAGGGACTGGTACCTGACTTTATTTAACAGTACTTTCTCTGTAGGAAAAACCCTATTTAACCTCTCCCAAGCTGTTTACCTCATCGGTGTGGGTGCTACTACCGATTCCAAATGCGTCTGGGTATCGGGTAGACCTACCAGCCGAGGCTTGAAGATATTTCAGATGGAGTTCTGTGGATCTGTAGTGCTGTCCTCCCTCAGAGAATTCTTTGAAAACCTCAGGGTTGTTTTCCCTCTGTCTGCTGTGAGGCTGAGAGGCTGTGAGCTCTCAGCCAGAGCCTTGGGACCTTTTCCCTGGAATTTCTGTTTCCCGGATGTTCTTGAGAAAAGAAGCTTTTCTACGGGACGAGCTGGTCTACGTCCTATAGTTTAGCTTCCTTACGTGAGACTGCCCCAAAAATGGCTCCTTTCCCTCCCAGAGCCCTGAACAAGGGGCGGAACCAAAGCTTAATTATGATGGACAGGAGGCCTGCCCTATGACTGCAAACAGATAACAGAAAGAAAATAAAGTTGGAGCTCCTGGTACAGTCGTACCAGCACACAGAGACAGGATTTCTTTCCCCAAATTTTGTTAGAAAGTGTAACGGAGGATGGGAGGTAAAGGGGAATAATAGACCCGTAATTCAATGAATGCAGTCCTGTTGTTATGGAAGACCTTCTTCCCTCTTTTCTCCTTAGTTGTGCCAAGCAATTATTTACTTAGGGTCCCGTGAGGCTGTGATCTCGTACCCACTAAAAGTATGTTCTGAGCAATCTTTAGGTCCTTTGATCTACGCTCCCTTTGGGTTTGCTGCCAGTGCCTTTCAGGGAGAGCCGATCAGTTTTGCCCTGCTTTGTGCCAGTCACAATGACTGACAGGTCCCCCGTTGCCTATTTGCTGATCAAGGGAGTTGGCAGGCCCTCTGTGGATCGGCTTCATTGGCTCAATATGTTCCTGCTCTGGCCGCATTTTACAAATATGGGATAATTAGAAAGCAAGTAATTTGTCTATTAAAAATCCGGAAGCAGGGGATTATTTGTACTTGGATAATCATTCATTGGAACAGCCATTTGTGTTTGAGGATACATTTCGACAAAGGGTAGAAATAATGCTGCCTTAAAAATAATTTTATAATGCAATACGACAATCCTAGCATTTTATTTACTCAAGCAAGACAGAGGGTAGATATACGGCAACAGCGAATATAGCTCAGAGTACGTAAAAAACAAATAAAAGCTTCATTTTATTCTGTACGACATCCTTGTAATAGATGGAGCTGTCTGAGTTAGTAATACTGAGAAGAATTTCAATTTAGAGCCTATCTGTGTATTAGCTTCCCGTTTTAGCGTGGCCGCCCCTATAAAGACAAAACCCCATTTTTGGATCCCATTAGGGAAGGAGGTGGCATACCTCAAACTCTTCCCCATAGTTAGCAAAACGCACGTGTCCGTCGCAGGGCAAAGAATTCAATTGCCTGGGAAAATGTATCGCCGCTACTGGCATCTGGACTCACTTTTGACCTGAAGCCTCGATTCGTTTCATATCACTTGGAAAACAATCTAAAGCTGCCGTTTGGAAGAATATTAGGAGCGTAATCTTGCTAAAGTCCTTTTTGTTATTTATTTTATTTATTTACAGCTTTTACATTCCGTCCTTCTCACCCCGCAGGGGACTCAGGGCGGATTACAGTGTACACATATATGGCAAACATTCAATGCCAATTTTTGACATACAAACATATACAGACATACACAGAGGCTATTTAACTTTTTACTGGCCGCCAGGGGAGTGTCGCTTTCATCGTCCATCTGCAACGCTGATGAAGCGCTTCCGCATTCCCCGCATGCTTCCCGCTGGAATGCTTTGCTGGAGTCTTCTTTATGGCCTCATAAATCAGTTAATTTAGCCTCCCCACACTTTAAGGTGGTACCTAATTTTCCTACTTGACAGATGCAACTGTCTTTTGGGTTGCAAAGGTCAACAACAGGCTACACACAATTGGTTGGAAACCCACTCCAACCCGGGCTGGCTTCGAACTCATGACCTTTTGGTCAGAGTGATCTTAATGCAGCTGACACTCAGCCAGCTGCGCCACAATCCCAGGGTTCTCAGTGTCTATGCCAGAGTTTTTAAGGTTGGCTTTGAGCCCATCTTTCAATCTCTTTTCCTGTCCACCAACATTCCGCTTTCCGTTCTTGAGTTCGGAGTAGAGCAACTGCTTTGGGAGACGGTGGTCGGGCATCCGGACAACGTGGCCGGTCCAGCGGAGTTGATGGCGGAGGACCATCGCTTCAATGCTGGTGGTCTTTGCTTCTTCCAGAGTCTATTTCGTTGTTACAGGTTGAATCCTCCCTCTCTGGCCTGGGGTTGGCTGAGTCTTTGATGGTGTGGCTAGAAATCTCTTCCCAGCCAGGCTGGAGCTCGGCTCAGGGGGTGGAGAAGAGTCCAAAGGGGAGGTTGCCATGCACCCAGGGGGTGACAATGGGACTCATCGACGAGCTGGAACATCAGATTGTGGAGGTGGTTGGGGGGCTTTTTGCCCGTACCGTGCAAAGTCAAATGGCCATGGTGGTCCATACTCTTATTACATCCAAGGTTTGCTACATGGGGGGGGGGGGGGGTCATTGAAGACTATTTGGAAACTTCAAATAGTCCAATGAGAGGCAGCCAGGTGAATCCCTGGGGCTGCATACAGGAAGCACACAACTCCTATGTTAAGTCCGAACCACTGGCTGCCTGTTTGCTACTGGGCACAATTCAAATTATTATTATTATTATTATTATTATTATTATTATTATTATTATACTTTATTTGTACCCCGCTAACATCTCCCGAAGGACTCGGTGAGGCTTACAAAGGCCAAGGCCCTCAATAAAACAACAGCATAACAAATACAACAATAAAACTCATAAAGCAAACCAATAAACATTAAAGCAATAACAGTAAAACATTAAAACAATAACATCATGACACAATTAAAACTAGGGTGCTGGCTTTGGCCTATAAAGTCCTAAACGGCCCCAGCCCAGTTTACCTATCTGAATGCATCTCCCTTTACGAACCACCACAAAGACTAAGATCTTCTAGGGAGGCCCTACTCTCGGTCCTGCCGCCGTCACTGGCACGAAATCAACTCCTAGCCAAAGAACTGGGCTACATGGTCTGTAGTAACCTGGCCACAGGAATGCTCAAAGATTGTGTTTAGTTTGCCTCTGGAACAAAAGCAACCTGATTTCTCCCCCCAGGCGACGTCGGGATTGAAACGCATTCTTCTCATTCCACGCCCGTCATCCAAGTTTGTGATTTCAGCGCTCGGGTTGTTAAAATGCGTAAGAATGCATATGAATGGTTCATTTTATCATTAAACGTATACACATTGCATATGAACTGTCAGATCAATTCAGAGTGAATGGAGAAAGAAATGGGACAGAACTGAGCTAGCAATAAATACATGCAGCGCTGGTGCAAAACATACATAAATAAGTGATACACCCATTCCTAAGTGAGAGTATTAGGAAGCCTTATAAATCTGGTCCAAAAGGAGGCAGGGCATACATAACTCAGTTGAAGCAGCTCCTTTGCATACACAAAGACCCCCATTTCCGATCCCTCGAAAGAGATCTCAGGGAAGCAATGGGAAGGAAGTCTCGTCTGAAGCACCAGAGAGCCGCTCTCCCATCAAAGTAGCATTGCTTGCAATGTTCTCGAAAGTGAAAACCAGGACCCAGGTGGCCAAGCAAGGTCAGCATGTGGTCAAAATGAGGGGGACACTGCAGCAGTTTTGTTCCATCATGCGACTTTAGCCCAGTGGGAAGCCAGGGCCCCCCGAAGAGAAGTTCTCAGAGGTTTTCCACCACAAATGATCCTTAGATGGCTTGTGAAGTATAACAAAGTCCTTTATTAATGAACAATCAAATCTCTTGTCTTCAATAAAGCTAACCAAATGCTTCCAGGCTTTATGCAACTGGTGGCTTCCTAAACTTGCCCACGAAGGACAGGCAACTGTCTTCAATAACTTATTCTTTATTTTAAGGAAAATCCCTTTTTAACTTCTCCCAGGCTGACTGATTTCTAACCCTTACTGATATGGGCTCCGCTACCGGGTCGAACTGCATCTTGAAGCACCGAGTGGACCTACCAGTAAAGGTTTAGATATTCTCCAGCTGGAGTTCTTTGGTCTTTAGGGCCGTTTTCCTGGAAATCTTGGGAGACTCTTAAGACTGTTTCCCCCCGGAAAGTCTTAAGGGTTGAAGCTTTTGTACAGGGGAAGCTTGCACACGTCCTGTACATTAGCTTTCCTTGCTGACAATAACTAAAAAATGGTTCCCTTCCCTTCTCAATTGCCCTGAGCAAGGGGCGGAACCAAACCTAACGATGATGGACAGGTGACTTGCCCTACAACTGCAACCAAAGGAAGCCACCTATCTGCAGAGTCCCTGAAACCTAGGATTGCAAGCAAACATTTAATACAAAGCAAATAAAGTGGGAGCTCCTGGTACAGCTGTACCAGCACAAGTTTACTTTCACCCAAGTCAACTGAGAAGGAAGAGAGACACTACCGAGCGAAGGAAGA